CCAATGCAAATACTACAAAGGATTAACTTCTTTCCCGAGTAGTTCAAATTCACGGACATGCCCGTGACATCAACCCAAGAGCTCTGGTTGTATTTTTTCTCGCCTGTGTAAGTCGTATAAACACAATCTACTCCAGCTACGTAGGGGTTGTTCATCGCCATATATAATAGCTCAAACCAATGCTTGCAGCTGCTAGTAGGTTATGGTCATATTCCTCCTCCTTTTTAGGCGCTCGGTATGGTTCTTTTTTAGGTGGTTGGTGCACTTTTTTAGGCTGTTCAACTAAGTGCCTCCTGATGGTGTCAGAGTTCACGTCATTCACCCCAAACTTCATATCCTTAGTAGCTCGTTGAAGTTTGTTGTTGTATCCTACTACAGARCCAGTATTTATAGATAAATTACTGGGCATTAACCAACACCCGGGGGCTACTGCATAGTCCAGTCGGGCCTTAGAATTTTGTATAGCTAGTTGGTAACGCTGTACGCCCTTGCTAATGTCGCCCTCTAAGATTGAACTTTCGAATAAGATCAAGGCTTCGGCTCGCGTTTCTTCTGCGGCGCCCGTATTTCCGATTATGCTAGATCGGGTATTTACCTGAGCTCCCAAAATGGAATACACGTAAGCTTCTATGCCGCGGTTCAAACGGGCAAGGCCAGCTTTGGTTAACCCTTTACCTTCTGGGGGTATGAAATTAAGATATTGCTTTGTTTGCTCGTCGTTGGTAATCTTAATAATCAATGGATTGGCCCCTGCATACTTACCACCCTCGTCTTTGAGCAGAGGTCCGTCTCTAACTTCCTTAGTGGTTTTGGCATTTGGTTCGAAGAAGGTGCTACTGTCGTGAGTTTCTTTATGATACCCAGTGTTCCATCGTAGATTCAATGCATGAACTTCCTTATCACTTAGCTCGTGTCCACCAATCCCCCAATAGGCCCAAACGTGTCCTAGACCATTGTTAGCGCCCGTAGTGCATCGGAAATCCTTCCCTACAACGCCAAACTCCTTACAAAGTCTATCATAAGCCGGCACGCTGTATTTGTTATCTCTTGGATAAAACGTGGCATCTCCCGGCAGCGCAATAACACCCATTTCATGCAGTATTCTTCTAACCGTGAAGTGAAAATGAAACATGAATATTGAATTCTTCATCAAGTTTGCACTTACACCACAACCGCTGGTGGCACACCAAACCGCAAAGTTCAACTGCTGTGGCCAATAACGCATGTTAGGACCACTTAACCATTCATGAGATTCCTTGGCGGTGGTATGAACAATGGGCACGTTTTTGAAGATATCTCGCACCTTTAACGGAAAGGAATGGTCGTTAGAAATCCGCATGTTCAACGTCAAGTCCAAGCTTGGGTGCTTGTCAAATGGAACCGCGGGTATCGGATAAGTACTGGTACCCAGCAATAATTCCTTTGACCAACCAAGCTTAGTAGGTTTTTCCTGCTTGGGCTTATGTTCAACATAACCAGGCGGTAAGATCTTAGGATGCTT